CTTCTTCTCTCTCTCTCTCTCTCTCTCTCTCTCTCTCTCTCTCTCTCTCTCTCTTTCTCTGTCTATTCTTTTTATCCTCGCAATTGGCTTCTCCGCGGGGAACAGACGATTCCTAATTTGCAATTTACGACTTTTCATCGGAATTTGCATCGAGGCGTTATCTCGTCGAAGGAAAAAAATTCAGGGTGCGGTTGATAGGGAATATATTAAACGCGTATTAAAACAGAGATGGTTGAGGGATGAAAATTCAATGGGGTGGTTGAGTATAGTGAGACGTCTCGGTTCGTTTAAGACGACTCGGTATGTAAATGAGAAGCTCCATCATTTCGGTAATTAAAATGGAACACCTTCGTTTAACTATCGGCGATAAAATAATCTTAATTATTCCGTTTTAAACGTTTTTGTCCAAGATGGCGGGAAATACGATGACGAGTAGGGCATAGGTTATTTCGTTGCTCTCATTATTCGTTTTCTCTCTCTCTTCTCTTTTTACTTCCTCCTTGTTCCTATCCGCCGCGAGACGAACTTGCACGCGGATCGATAAGATTTATATTGATTAGAAAAGGAGGTGGAAATCTCTGGGGAATAAGATCGGAATAAGATTGGCTTGGTCGAATGATGGGATAAGTGAATTATCCCATCGCGATGTGGAGGTAAGAGTAAACTGAGGAATGAAATGAACAAGAGATTTTGATAGAGGGGAAAGAAAGGGAAGCACGGAGATAAGCATTTTGAGGAGAATCTCTGATGAATTAATTAAGTTTAAGGGGAACGTTTGATATCGTGAAAATGGATGGATACGATTGTTTTAACGATTTTTAACTTTTAATGTGTATGAAAATTGATTGCAATGTTGTAAATATAAATGCATAAATAATTCGATGATTTATTGATTGGGTAAGACAGGCAATTTCGGATGACATCATTGTTTAAATGATAAATTCATTCGATAGGGGAGGATAGTGTTTTATGTATAATAAAATTTTTAATATTTGTTTCATTTTTGCAGGGAAAGGACATTACTTTACTCAATCAACACATTATTACAATTAATATTATATTATTAATACACAGTAACAGGAATAATGAGGAAATAAACAATTGTGAAAATTACGAATTACATTATTGTAATTAAAATATGTAAAATACCAAATATTTAATTAAAATATTTAACATTTCTCGCGTGCATGATTTTAATTTAGATGTTATAACATTTCTAATATTTAATATTTTTTATGCGTGACTTTAATTTAGATGTTCCGAGTATTTTTAATTTGTAAAATTAACCATGAAAAAGTTTTATTATTTCAAAAATCCTTCCGTTGGATAAATATTTTTATATTACAGAATATTTTTATATATTATTAACGCAATGTTATTAAAGAATTTTCTTTTTTCATCGATGAGATTAAAATTTTGTTAAATTTCTCGAAACCGTCTGTCATTCAATCAATTTATATCAAGATGTAAAATAAAAAAAATACATATCAAGATAGATATCAAGATGATAGATAATCCAAAAAAAAGAAAAAAATTTTTAAAGAAATTTCCTTAAGTTTTTTTCCTGAAGAAAAATGTAATTATAACACTTCAACTCATAAATTTTCATTTCTTCAAATTTTATAAAATTAAAATTTAGAAGTTTATTATTGCGATATTAAAGAACAAATTCTTAATTACCAAGTGTTCGGTGACTTTATAAACGAGAGAGTATACATAATATACATATATTCTTGTTACTGCTCGTGCATAATGCATCCTTCATCCTTCCCTCCACTTTACTTTCCACTTTTTTCTTTTCTTGGCAAAACTCTTTACAAGTGTTTACCATAAAAGTATCCCCGTTCAAAGGGCGAAGATAATGGCGTAACTGGCTCGACCAGAAATGAGTAGTCTATTGCTTATACATACATCGCGCGCCTCTTTGTCCTTTTATCCTTGGTGGGAAGACCACTCGAGGCTGCATAAGGAGTATCACGAACCGACAAGGAAGAAAGTTACGACGTCTTACGTCGTTGCACCGTGAAAAGCTGCAACCGACGTAAAGAGAGCGGTGCTTCTTTCTCGAGCGGCCACCATTTCTCATGTTCAACGACGTATATCGCCTTGGTTGCCTGGTGACAAACGTTTGTTGAAATTTACACCCCTTTCGATATACGCGTCACTCTTTCTCGCCATGCTTTTATTGGCGTTCCGTCGATGGATGCTATTCGTCAGAAATGCGACGAAATGAAAAGCTATTCGACGTTTTTCTTCCACTGAATATTCTTTTGTGAAAATCAGAAACTCGTTTTGCAATTGCGACTTTCGAGAATTAACTTACAGGCTTTTTTCTTCTTCTAATATTTGCTGTGTAATAATGTATTTCTTACAATAATGATTGATAATTTTGAATGTCAATTCCTTTAACAAATGAAAAAGAATTTCAGTGGATGAGGGAAAAGAGACGTTAAAACAGAAGAGTCTACGAATTTTATCAATAAATATCTTTATCTTTCTTATATTATTATAATTATTATAGCTAAATATGTTTGTAGATATATCTTATACTGTGTTCTTTTTTTTTAGGGTAAATGAGAAAGAAAAAGAAGAGGTAAATTAATCCATTGGTAATTGAAGAATTATTCTACCGGATGTGTGCAGAACGTTTTTGAATTTGGCTGTGTGACGTTCAGACAAAGGATTTAAAGCGGAACGAGGAAGCGAATAAGAGATTACGACATGGAATTGATGGCAAAGTTTCTGTCACTATTTGTAGTTCGGGAAACTAACCGAAAATCTATTTCCAGGGATTCACGATTTGAGTAACAAAGGCAGGGATATCAGACTCTATAAAGTAAATGAAATTGTGTCAATTTTAGCGTATAAGTGAATTGGAACCACCATTCCAATGTTCTATATCTACGCTTCACGTGTCTGACTCCTCAATCCGCATATCTTCCAACTTTATGAACGCATTCCTCGGCTCAAAGTAAAGTAAGGACACAAAGATCAATTTAACCTGGTGGTGATCACGTTAAATATTAATGCCGATTAAAACGTCTTTGATCATCTTTGAGTTGTGCATCTCCATAATTTTTTCGTTGCATTGTAAAGGAGCGTGGCATAAATTTTCATCGCTTTATTTCCATAAATCTTAATCGTTTGAAGGTTAATCACGTGATCTATATTCCTTGCCACGAATTCGGATTTGCCGGATAATTCAACATTCCCCACAAGGTGAACGCGATCGCGACCCTCTTACGGTCAATATTGATACAGAAACGCAATCGAGCCAACCATTGAATTTCCGAATTCTATTTACCCGACAGATTGAAGAATTTAGAATTTTCCGGGGACAATAGCCTCGGAAAAAATTTAACGAACCTCAAGATTGAACGACCTTGCTCGCCAATTTTCCACAATTATTATTTAATAAACTCCACTCCAATTATTTAATAAACACGTTGAACGAGTTGACAAAAATGAAGCTGATGAAATAATAACGAGACGCGAATTATGCAAATTTATCTCCATAGAAATGTTTCGTTAATATAGGCTGTGTTAATAATTGGCTCGAACGAGTGATCGAACGTGGGGATAATTATACTGTAAACAATACACACGTTCTACGAGTGGATATTTCGCGGAAAATAGAGACTCATGAATGAGCCAAATAGGGTTCGATGCCATCGCATTGACCAATGTTAATATTTGCGCACGGGCGGAATGGAGCCGCCACCGTTTCGAATTTCCAAATTCTATCCATCTATCCATCCACGTTAAGTACATAGACGGAAGCGTGGTGATAACGGAATTGATAGAATCGTATAATAATAATTACTATCTCTATGCTTCTAGCCCCCTCCTCCTTCCATCGATTCGCCCCCCGATTTTGATTCGCCGATCGTCATTGTTGCACGATCGAGCAATAGAAATTATTACTGGAATTATAATCGAACGTGTGGACGTCGATCTTTGATTATAAACCGATCGCCAATTAATTGGCACGATGACGAAATTACTAGTAGCTTATTTCAATTCGACGAAATTGTTTCCACGACGTCAAATTGGGACGGTTTTATCGTTGATTATCGTTCTCCTTGTACAATCCTTAAGTTTCGTTTTCAAATTCTCATCCTTATATTTTTTTGATTAGTCGGGGAAAATAAGAATTTTAAGCAGTGGCTCGATTGTCTAATCGTATTGAATTAAATCGTTATATATACATTTAAATATAATATTTAAAGCACGATATTGGATAATTTCTTCAAGAATTTTTCAATTCAAATATGCACACGGAAACATATTCGAGCACAATATTTAAAACATGCAAAGTATTCGAAAATAGGATATAAGAATTCATTCTCATAATTCTAAAGCTAAATATTGGACGAATTCCAGACCATCTCGAGTCGTTGGAGTATCGAACTACTGAACCTATCGATTTCAATCTTTTCAAAGATTTTCCTTCAAACGTACACGATACTTGTCCAAAGAATTCCAACTCAGAAATTCTCGTATCTCGCCGAAACAAAGAAAAAAAAAAAAGAAAAAGAAAAAGAAATTAAAACGCCTCAATTTTTCCAAGGAAACTGGCAGAATTAATAGCGTGACGTTCAGTCAAACAGAAACGTTTAATATGGTGGCACGGCAAGTTCGGTTTCGGTAAATTTTCGGTTGGCCGATTCCTAGGGCGTTTCTATTCTCCATCAGCCACGAAACGGCTGCTTCTAGGCAGCAGCCAGCCGCGACCTCACGATGCACGCCACATCCATCAAGTCGGATGAAACCGCCGCGCCGTTCTCTCACCGTATAGGTGACGTAAGTTCCGTCTGGAATGGGACTCCGTGCTAGACGAAACACCTTGCCTAGGAATTACGCGAGTCGAGGGAAGCCGTACACACGGATACCCAAATGCATCTCAATGTGTTCAAACGACAACTAACAAATGGCGCATCTGCCTGTCGGTGCCGTAATTGAGCTCGTCTATAATTTTTGAGGTGAGAAACGGACATGAACGGTATATTAATTTTTGTTGTATTCGGTTATTCGTCGAGGTACACGTGGCAAGTACGTAAAAAAAATTCATACGTGTGGGTTTTTGAAAAAAAATATAGGATAATTATCTTTTCGTGGCCTTGTTTCTTATCTTAGTGAAATAAAGAATTGTTAGAATTATGCAGTTTTATATATACTTATCTTATTCGATTATATTTCATGAAGAATTTTCGAGAAAATTAATCAATTATTCATGAGTGAAGATATTTTGAAAAAATAGAGAATATCGTGGATATTTGACTTTTAAGAAATATTTATAATTTCCAAGATATTTATCTTGCCACATTTCTTTCGATACTTTCAATCTTCTTCCTACAATGAATAGATGTATAGTGAAGATCTTGATAGGTTTATCGGCTAGTCCAATCGTATGTCCAGACGCATATTTCTTATCTTTTTTTTCTTCTTCTCGTTCCGAGCTATTTCCTCTCAATTTCTTACAGAATGTCGAATGTCGATCGGATCGAAGTCATGATTCTCTCATTGGTCGAATTGGACTGTATCAATTGATCTATCAGATAGTTTCGATAGTTTCTTTCGCTTATAACATCATAAGTAAAAATCATAAAATTTTTGAAAAGTATTTATCTCTAATTATTTTTATTCTACTTTAATAAATTTTACGATAATTTTGAATATTTATTGGAATTTTGAAGTTTATAAAACAAGGATATACAAAGATATCAATTTCGTATATTATCTTTCGAATTATTTAAACAGGTATTCTTTATAATAAGATAGTTTTTAAAAGAGCTCGACAAATCTCACTCTATGGTTCGTGTAATATGTTAGGATGTTCGCCTGTGAAACTTCACGCAGCTTCTTGTTCCATCGGGCTAATATATTTCCGCTTTTTCCCTCATTAGTGTTCGTGAAAACGAGAATTTTTGAAATGCGCCTCCAGAAATTGTTACTTCAACACGTAAAAATAACTAAAAATGAATCATTAATCTTAGAAATATTACATATTAACATAATTATTTAATATTTACAAATCTATTATCGAAAATTATTTTTGCAGGAAAATAAAACATTTCCAAGCGATTTGCGATACTTGAAAAAAATTCATCCATCAAATGCAGATTTTTAACAATTTATTTTATCGTGGAAGATAATTTTTACTATTTTAAAAATTATGAATAGTTCATTCCTCGAACATATAACGTAGCAAATGTTAACAAATTCCACGATTCTCCAATAAAAACGAGCAATTAATACAAACTTAAATAAAGTATTTAAATACTTTTACAACGATGTGTACAAACATAATTCGACAAACGTTACGTCCACAATTCTCAAATAATGATAAATTTCGATGAGATGCGTTAAAAAAATAAACGATACATTTCTGCAATGATGCATTAAAACGCATAACTCGACAAAATTGAACGCGTTTCACAATTTCCATGTAACGGTAAACAATTAATATAAACATAAATAAAGCGCACTGGAAAAACAGAGAGTGTATTTTACCGAGAGTGATATGATTGTTTTTTCACTCGTTTCTGGTTTTCCAAACACAGCTCGTTATAACTGGAGAGGGAGATTAGTCTACTGGAGCTCGTTGCAATATTAACGCAGAGAGGCCATAAAGTATTCATACGTCTCCGCGTAAATTTCAGCCGCGGCTGGACTGTGGCTCATCGTCCCTTGAAACACTGGCCAAATACCGGCACTAATTAATCACTCTCAGACAAATTGCCGAACCCCGGCGTTTTGCTTGTAACACCGGAAGTCTGGGGACTGTGGGGCGTGTCTGGTTCTTGTTGGCCCCTTCCACGTGTAGTATCTTGTCTGGATCAGTCCGGGAACGATTTCTCGAGGAGCCGGCTACGTGGAAGAAAATCATGGAACACCGACGATGAAAGGTGGCCAACGTGGAAAAAGAGGGAAAAGAGGAAAAAAGAGGGAATTTATGTGCGGGAGGACCGATATGACGGGTAAAATAAATTAGTTTTTAATATTAATTATGATAGATTTAGACGAGAAGATTTTGAAATTGTATTAAAATTTCTACAAAAATTTTATCGTTTAACCATAGTCTCATCTATCCCCTTTTAGAAAGAGTTTTATCATTTTCTCTATGTCGTTTTTTCTAGGATAAATAAATTAAAAACGTTTTCTAAAGTTCGTACGAGCTTTCTAGAATTTACTCAAGAGGTGAAAAATGTACGAGACTTAAAATGTATGTCGGATAATGGAAAAAACATTGGATAGAATATTTTAATTAAGAAGAGCAATGCTTTCCTTTTTGAATACAAATATTAAATTATTAGATAATAAAAATTTTACTCGTATCTATGATTGAAACGAATATAAATTTATGATATCAAACTTAATAGCTTAATAGAGAAGAAAAAGAAGGAATATTTTTGAAAAGTTGCCCATATTGGCAACACGAGAAGCTGTGAAAACATTGGATTAAGAAGCGTCGAGATTAGAACTCTCTGTTGACGTTATTAACAGCTTCGTTCGTTCAAGACGATAACTATGTTGCTGCCAAGGAAGCTCCATTTAATCCGATTTATTACAAACTATATATATATATAAATAGATAGATATGATGAAACCGAATGATCTTCCTACACGCAAGAATTTTTATAAACCAATATACCAACCAATTTGATTTAAATTAATCGAAATAATAATTAAACATAGAATTTTTCTTTCGACTTTTCGTTCCCAACGTCGATCGAAAAAGTCGCGATCAAAGAAATTTTGGAGCGACTAACGTACCTTGCAAATACCTTGAAGATAACGCGCAAGAAGGCGTTTCTAGTATATATATTTTGCGAGGAGTGTAACGAGACGTCGTAACTCGTGTCGCCTCCACAAACTTCAGGCACTATTGTGAGGGAGGGAAATTTAAGGATGGAGGTTAAACGAATGTGACCGTTTCCGTTAGACAGTCGAGATGGAGAGCAGCGAGAAACGTGTGCAAAATAAAAGTGCACTAACTTGAAGAAAATCGAACGTAACGTGGTGGAACGATATTCGAATTATTATATTATGCAAAATCGAGGGATTGCAATGGAGGAGATATGTATAGTTGCTTTTGTACATCCTACGAAAAGTTTATTTTTTATTAAAGCAGATTATTTGAAGATTAGTTAGATTGAGTAAATAGTAAAAGAAATTTTATAAATTTTAAATTGATCTTTTGTTAATCATATGCAAGCCTGTGAATAATTTAATCTTTTTCATAATTTAATTAATTTCTATCAAACCGAAGGATAAAATTTTATATTAATAAAATTGCACGTTTCGTAATTTCTTCGATATTAAAAATTCAATGGAATATTTATTTAAGAAATAATATTAATCATTGAAATATGAATTAGGCGAAGGCGGAGGAACCATTCAAGCGGTATCAACAGAAAGAAACTAATCATTAAGAGCGTCGCAAGAAGCAATGAAGGAAAGGGGAAGCAAAAACGAAAAAATCAATGTGGCATTGTTCGCCGGCGTAATGTGCTATGAAAAGAAGAAAGGAACTAGGGGAAGAATGGGAGTAAAAATGTAGGAGAGATGGTGATATACAGGAGCAATGTTACGCGCGATTAACTTCCTCTAAGAGACAACCGTGCCACGAACGACCTCCACCAAACAATGTCAGCCATGATGAAGGAAGAAAATGGAGAAGCAACGTCAACAAGGAATTTTTAAATCCTTGGTGAATTTATTAATTCACGACCACCAAGTTTATTATTCATTTGTCATTTATACATTTTGCAATTTCAATCCAAAAATTGTTTATACGATTTTATTTCTTTCGATTTCACTACAATTCTAGGGTAATAAAATAAGCTTAGAATTTATATTTCAAGAAAATTATTAAAATCAGAAGTTGAATAATAAAAAAAAATTTTTACAAATAGTTAAATTCACGCATCGTCGCATTACTCTTTATTAAATCCTATAAATTTCTATGCTTGTTTCACTGGCATCCATTGAAAATGAAAAGAAACGAGCCGCTTGCATAAAAGGATCATCACATATAAAATTATGATGGATATTTAATAACCATAAATAAACTCAAAATGTACGTTGCATGGAAGGAATAAAACGTACTAAGTATTCCATTCACCGACACTAAAAGATCCACCATTATTTTTGAAGGAAACTGTCTTGTAACGTATCTCTTGGGACGTCGTCTACCATTTTCTTGAAAGGCTACAAATATTGATAACACGTATGACCCATACGAAATGAATGTTACAAAACATGCTCACCGGAAGAAATATCGTTCAACGTTCATATCACGATGAATATAAAGGGACGTTAACGTCGCCTGAAAAATCGAACGTTCCTGAATTCGTTTCTTTCGCATCGTCTTCGCATAGAACTCACAAACCTCGATGTACGTTTTTCCACTAACGTTTTCAGCGGTGGTTCACTAGGAAAAATTACTCGGACTTATTCATCTGGTCGCGTAGTTTTTTTCCATGTAAAAGAAAGAAAAAAAAAAAAGAAAGAAAGAAAGAAAAAAGAGAAAGGATGAGAGAGGTTAGGAAGGGAGCGACTGATAAGCTTAAATGGATCCCACTTTATCATGGGTAAGAGGGTAGGAAGAGGTCAGAGGTACTCAGGAGGTTTATCTAGGTAGTACAAGGGCTTACGATGTCACGCGATCCAATTTGACAGTATAAGTGACAGGATGGAGCATTTACTCGAGATCAAGTAAGCCTATGTAAGTACATCCATACATGCATACATAGCCTTATATTAGCGCTCGATTAACACACTTTGCTTTTAGATGGAATGACATTGGGGAAACAAGAAAGCTGATGTAATGCGTATTAACTATATCTTCGTATCGTGAAACAATCATTATACAACGAATAAGGGATGTATTAATCAGGGATTGTTCAATTACATGTATTCCTCTGTTTGTAAGTAATATAATATTTTTTTCTTTAATTAGATACAAAATGATACACGATAACGAAGCATTATCAGAGAAACGACAATAGAATATCTATGTCTGTATAAAATGATGGTTTTGAGATATGTAATAAAAATTTAAGAATTTTTAAAAATTATTTGAAAAAGTTATAGGAAAATTAATGATGCATTAACTATTATAAAGCTTTTAAAAAAGTGTTCAGTAAAGAAGTAAAATTTTCATTAAAAATAAAATCGTATAATAATAATAATTATAGTAATGATAATATTAAATAGTAAGATAAAAATTTAAGTTTATCTTGTTTTTTTTTTTTTTTTCAATACTTATGAACGGGAGTATATATTCTACTTTTCTTGGCATACAAATATAGCATTAGTTTATCTTTCCACGAAGCCATAGCTGCGGATTTCATTTTGAACTTCTAAGTCAAATGTTTGTAAAGCCCTGCCACAAAAAACAGGGCTTCCAGATTTATCTGGAACTTCGAAAATCAAATATTTATACGATCGTCCGTAAAAATAGAATTTCAACTAACTTTCCAGTTTCTATTTAGCTTTTATTTGTTTTACAATTATCTAGGTTCTATTGTACTTTTACATGGTATTTTTGTTTCGTGAAAAGATTATGTACTCCATAGTTTAGAATTTTGTATATCGTGTGAAGTTTTTATCGAAGAGAGAGAGAGAGAGAGAAAGAAAAAAAAATGAAAATGTAAAACCGTCGCTGAAAGTTTTTATCAAAGTTAAATTAAATTAAATTCACTGGAAGGTTGTAGGTTAGTTGTATCTGTATCTCTGCTATTACTGACATTATCTCTGTTTCAGCAAGAAAAACGAGGAACACTGGCAACCTCACAAAAGGGTATGACGAGAACTAATGATAATAGTATCCTTGAAAAAGAGAGTTAAAATACCAAGATCAAAAAACAACTAGAGAAAATGAAGATTTATATATTCAAATAATTTAAACAAATTTTTGTTTTATTTGACATTTATATTTAGAGTAAGTATACCTTGAAATATTAAGTATGTCAGTTTTCAGATTCAATTTTGTCATTTGTCAACGTTTTTACAACTTTGTTGGAAATACAATTTCTTTTTTTTTTTTTTAGATTTATAAATAAGAATGTGCTACTGTCCGGTCATAAAAGATTGTAGCGAGGATTACTTGTTATAAAATTCTTTTACCAACTATTGAAATTGGAGATAGTTTTGACAGATCGGTCAGGAACAATTAACGAGTCGGCATCGTTAAAGAAACATGGTGCCAACAAAGCCTTTCAAATATTGCGAAATTGGTCGGTATCGACTCTACCTGTTGCATCGTTTTTAGTTGCCTGCAATACCTGACTGTGACATCGATCTGTGACGTTTCTTTTGTATGTCTATTTTTCCCGTAAAAACCTGTGAGTATCTTTCTTTAAGAATAAATGTACATTCTTTTATTAAAAATAAAATAATCGCGATGTGTTACAATTCCAGCAATAGCTACGAACATACGATTTTTCAACCAATAACCCCTTTTTCACGGAGGAAAAAAAAATTACTCTTCCTTTCTTTAATCGAACGGAGGGAAAAAAAAAAAGAAACGAAGAAAAAGAGAGATCTCTCAATCTGAACTTCGCAAATGAATGCATCGAATGCATACGATGCATTAAGTCCCAACCGCAACGAATGCATTGTAAAGAGAGAGGGGATGAAGGGTCGAGAGTGCTCTCGTTTGGAGTTTCCTCCTTTTATCGGAAATGTTCCCGCGGTATCCGAGGGAAATGGGTTTTAGCCAAGTGCTACTATAAATTCTATTTGTTCCGGTGAAAACAGTAATACGTCATGGCTTCTTACGGCAATTATGTGTCTGATTAACCGTGTACGATTATGCAAAAGCTTCAAACAAGTATACATATATATATATATATATTTCGTGCTGGAACAATTGTACGAAGATCACTGCACCACGATTTTGATATATCTCGTTGAAAATGAGGAAACTTTAGCAGAATTTATTAAGAAAGCAAAAACGTTCAGAGTTTATTTTACAAATTGGAAACGAATCTCAATTTACTTTATAGTTTTATAATCAAATTGATTGAAGTTTTATACGATAGCAGATAATGTAGAAAGTTAATGTCGTTTTGAAACGGAAAGTAAAATATTTTAAAGATAATTAAAGATTCTACGTAAACAAAAACATAAATATCGTTCGTTTTTCTTGGTGTAGTAAATACAATTATTATTTTTTCTTTTTATATTAATTCTTCGGCAATGACAGATAGCAAACACGATCTCTGAATAATTTCGATCCACGACTAAACGTTAGTCGTCTACTATTTTATACGAATCATTTTTTGGTCGCTTTCCATTTCTCCGAATTTTTTCCCGATAAGAATGTATTCTGCCGTTGACATATTTGATGTACGAGGGTAAGGCATTCGCCAGGATAACCGGAAAAAATTGTTGTTGCAACATATTCTTCGGACCACATTACTTCCGCCAGTTTACAAAAAAAAAAAAAAGAAAAAAGAAAGAAGAAAAGAGTAACGAAAGTAGTTTTACAGCGGAAAATGATAACAGGATATAAATTTCACCTGTGGCCTCCGTCATTGATTTCGTAAATCAGAACGATCATTCACATGATTTATATCTTCGTAAGTCATATTGCAATTAAATCACTTAATAACAATATCGTAATAAATCTGATACTTTCAGAATAGAGATATGTAATCAATTTTTATCGATCATTTATCTCTTCTTCGCGAAAAGTTTGTCTACAGATGAGCAATAATACATAAACAGAACAATCATTGTTCTGAAACGAATCGATATCTGTTCCCGCAGATTTCCCATTTATTCTGTACTTAATTGCAACTCGAATCCTCGATGTACAACAAGAGTACTCCACTTAATTGATCAATTAATTACGCCTATTAGTTTCATATACGCACATCCTTGCGATTATTATTATCGGCGATGTATTGCTTTAAACGGCCGAATAAATGGTGATACGATCGATCTCGTATCTTTCCAAAAATCGAAATATCTTCGAGAAATATCACGAATCATTCCCGTGAATATTGTGATCCTTCTCACCGGATATTACCAACAACGCGTTGACGTTATCTGTTTCCAGGCTGCGATTTTCTCTCTCTCTCTTTCTCTCTCTCTCTCTCCCCGAACCGAAAAAAGGAGAGAAGAAAAAAACAAAACAAAAATAGGAGAGATGGATAATAAAAATCCCGCTATCTGGAGGGAACTCGATGCACTCGAGCACGAACGCTGCTCATCTCTCCACCGATCCGTTTTGCCGAAATTTACGATATGGCATCGCGCATAAAACCAAGTTTAAAACCGTTCGATTCGACGAGAGGGAGAAGGACGGAAGGAATGGCCGTGGCAAAACAACGGTGAACCAGAAAAAGATAAACAAGAAACGAGGAGGGAACGGCGTCGAGGGAGTAATGGCCGAGGCCGTACACGCGCGATATTTCCCTTGTTTGTTTTCCATTACTCCGCGGAAGGCAGCTGTCCGTTGCCGGCAACGGAATAAAGCGCGGCAATGATAAGAGAAGAGGGTTCGTGTATATAATGGGGAATTGTGCCTTCACGACTCGGCGAGCCCTTTTTGGTGCAATGGTGGCGCGAAACTCGGTGCCACCCTTCCGCTCGTTTCACCCTGTTCCAGATAGATTGCAACGGGCCACTTGAACGGTGCCCGATTTCCCGCGGGATCGCGCGTGGAATCGATAAAAAGCTCTCCTTTTATTTTTCCTTGGCCGGAAACCGGAAGAATCAGAGCGTTCATGGATTGGTGGGCGTCGAGTGCGCGTCTTGGACGAGATTAAAGGTTGGATCGTTTTTTTTTTTTTTTTACTAACTGTGATCGATGATCGAGGAGGATGGTGGGAGGCGTGGACAAACAGAAGATCGAGGGAGAAGGAAGAGCGGTGGGATTTTTCGAGGATTTTGTAGAGAGAGATGCGATTGCTTGGGATTGTACGCGATTGAGATACGAGATGAGCGGATATGAATCGGGGATGGATCGTGGTTGCTGTTTGCTCGGCTGAAATTTGTTCAAAGTATGGGGATGTCTTAGTTTGAGTTGAAAATTAAATTGCTTTCGTTGGGCTTTAATGGAAAACCGACCCGCTCCTTACCAAGTTTTTCATCGAAATTTGTGTAAGGAATCTCGTGAATCCGATGGTTGATTTCGTATTAACGGGTTATACGATTGTTGTTCTCGCTTTGCTCGTTTTGTAATCTTTCCTCTTTTGATCAGCTTGGCCGACGTTTCCGAAGAAATAGCGATATTATGAAAATGAATTGCAAGAGTGTTCACACTACGTTTTTTGAAAATATAAATCTTTGAAAGTGTTTTATTTTAGTTGATTTTATTTTTCTTCAAGAGGCCTTCATTCAACGAAAAATATTCCATATTATATACGTATAAACTTTCGATAAAATCAGAAATTCCAAGCAACGTGAATTTATTTTCTAGAATACAAATACTTTTCCAACTTACTGTACATGGCAGATATTTACGGTCCCTGAAGCACTTCTTCTCGAAGTATTTCTGCTCGTAAAACGAATTCATCTCGCCTATATCGAGCTGTGTAACGCTGTGTTCAGAAATTTCGTTGGTTCGAGAGATCGCACGGCAAAGACAATCGAAAATTTCGAAACAGTAATGAACAACGCGTGCAATGCGCCTTCGAAACTTGTTAATTTCCATCCCGGATCCCAACGTTTGATAACACTGATCAGTTTGACAAATATAGAGAATTTTATCGTCGAAACGAATCGTTAACTTCCGTAAACGATACTTTTTATGAAACGATATAAAGTGCGTTTGACCCGTTTCGAAATGATTCAACGATGATCAATGAATCAAACCAAATCGTTTTCTAGCTGAATGCAGAAAGGACAGGTGTTAATATATTACCAACGATCGAGCTAATAATGTGAATCACGTTCGGTGATTACCGGGCCACTAATTATGCGAAAGGTGTTTTGATGTGACGGAAATACTGCAAAAAGGGGATCTAATTTATAGATTAATTCTACCTTTCCCCGTCCAACTGTCAATTACGACGTGTTGTAATAAACCGGTGGTCGAGATTGGCTTTTTCGATCGTGTGCAATTTCTTTCGCGCGGTTTTCTGATAAATTGTCCTTTTGCTCGCTCCAAATTCAACCGTGAAATATCGAAATATCGAATTCGTGGAAAGATTAAAAAAGTCGTATCTCGACTTTCCCGTGATATATTAAATTAGAGGCCACGAAAAGAGAAATCTATATTTTGCGATAAAGTTCGTGCGAAGTATCGAATTATCGCAGCGAATGAAAAGTATTTACTATTCTTAACCCTTTTCCTTTTTAATTCCTCAAGCAGTTTTTTTTTCTTTTTTTAACAATAAACGCAATATTGGAATAGTATTGATAGAACTGTAATCGAAAAGGAAAACGAGTTTATGAAGAATATGGAATTAATGAAAAATTGAAACTTTAAATCCGATCCTGGTAAAATTTATCGCAGGATATATTGATTTATTATTTGGATGTATTGATATTAGTTTCGAAAGGTTTATTAAATATTTAAATGTTTTATTGTATATATACTTTTTTAATATATTTTTTTCGATGTACGTGTAATAAAATTGTAATTTTTAATATTGAACACAAATTTCAATTATTTGATAACAAATTATATGATTGAAATGACATGTGATCGAAAGATCTTGTTGAATTTCGAGTACTTAGAATTCAATTATATCTCGTGTAGCAGGATAATATAATATTTACTTGACTATATTATTCTATATTAATAATATAACCACGATATGGGTTTGAATATTCATGATTTCATAGTTATCAAGGCAAAAAGTGTAAAAAAGATGAGAGGATATTCTACTTTTTCTCTTTACTTGAAATTTAATTTTTTCATATAAAAAAATACAGTGTATCATAAATTTTCATTGATATCCTGAAATTCTCATAAAAAGTTTATCCTTTTTAATCTTTTGCAAATTGCAATTTGGTAAAAATATTTTAAATTTCTGTCGTATAAAAGTATAACAATTTTTTTTTCATTGTAGCATCAACAAATGTTGAAACTAAAAGATTGTTGCCGTGAAATTGCAATATTCAAATAAATATTCCATTAAAAATTTCCATTGATTTCAAAAATTTTAATCAAACTTAATAATTTACATTACCGAAACACTACTACCTTTTTTACATTACATCTGTCTTACTTTCACCAACAGGCAAAGAAAAAAAAAACCTTCCTCCTAAGATCCTTCATTCCAATTCCAGCAACAATTATTCAAATCCTTCGTCGCCAAATATATCACGAAGCATTAAAATTTCCACGTGCCGACGCGTTCTCGCGATTTCTACCTAAATACACGCATGATGTAATCAAGCGCAAATCAAGTTTGGAACAAACGAGTTCCTGGAAATGGAAAGAAAGAGAAAAGACGTATCCGAAACGATACGAAGAAACGTGCACACGATCGTAGCAGAAATTTTTTTATAATGAACGTTATGTCTCTCTGTAAACGTCCAAAACCCATTCTGTTCTCGAGAGGGCGCTTAACGTCCCTCGTACGCACAGGTGAGAACCTTCAAGACTCGTTTATATCGTCGCTCGTGTATACCCTCTTTTCGAGGGACTGAAGAATTTCAACCGCCTTCTATTCACCGTGCAACGAGATCCATCCAGCCAGCTCCGTGAGTATTATAAGCACGGCGAATAAAATTTTTTAAAAGGTTTTCGCGAATTTTTAAAAGGTTGTCTCTATGGTTAGATCGGATTAACATGGCGGAAACACGAGGTTACGAATTGTGTAAGTTATACGCGTATACGTAATCGCGTTTAACAGTCTTTTCATCGATGTTCGAACACCTTCGCCGTTTCTCGAACAAGTTTGTCTGAGAGTAGCACGTGAGGGAGAAACTTTCCACTTGATAATCTTGTACAAGTTTCGTTCCATGCACCGTGTAGCGAATCGTGACGAGTTTTATTCTTTTTCTCCACGCGCAAAGATTATGGATTTTTTTTATTAAATTTAGTACAACGAACATTGCTGATGGATGGATTATATTATCATAATGATAATAAAATGTCCATTATAATCGAGAGAAGATTATTCGGACGAGGGAATTTTTGGAATAAATGATTGGAATTACTTCGAGAAAAGTACATACATTTATTTACGTACGATTTGTAATCCTTCGATGCTGTATCCATCGATTACGAAAAAATAGAATCGTGGAAAAATAACACCGAGCCAATCCCGATTCAAAGAATCTAAACTCGAAACGAAACGAAATTAGTAATCCCCCGTGGCAGGTGTCAAAGAATCCATTCGGGAGTAATTAAATTGCATCGATGCATAAATTGCAGGTGCGCGTCATCAACGGATCGAAATCGAAATCGAGTGTAGACCCGGAGACGATGGATAGATGGATGGACGAGCGAGTGAAACGTGGACGGCCTAACAATGCGGAGAACGGGTATACGCGCGATTTGCAATCGTTGCACGGTGGCGCATCGTTGCAGCGATCCGCGCGTCACGTCGCAGACCGGCCACGACGACACGAAGCTGGGTCGGGAGCAATTAGCAATTAAAATCGAGGGCTCGGCGATTGATCGGTCTGGTATGATACGAGGCTGTCCCGCCGGCCAATCGACTCCTGGATTATAATTACGCCCGCTAATTGCGCTCAACCCCGCTCCTCGCCACTTCTGGCAAAGAGTGGGCCGTGTGATTGGTGTCAGACAGGGTTAAAACGTTCCGAGGACTTCATTTCCGACGTTGGAAATTTTCGTTTGCCCGCCCGATAATTAATTTGGATCGTCTCGGGGCAACCGTGGAGAAGGAGGACGAAATTCGAACATTATATACGCGCGTACAACGAAACGTATATGCAAACGTTGGTCAAGGATCGAGCGTGCATCTTCGTTTAATTGAACGAGTTATGAGTTACAATTACGGTTTCTTTTAATACACGGTCGACGGAAGCGCTTCGTTTCGATATAGAATTGTTCTGCGAAGGCGAAGGCATAGTGGAATTCTAATAAACGTTCGCTAACCATAATTCGAAACGAGATTCTCGAAAAAAGGGCTGGTTTCGAACGAATAAAGGTGCAATCAAGTACGTGGATACTATTAATTGTAACAGTTAATAAGAGCAATATTGCAGATCGTTGTGACGAATTTGATTAAACTTAACATTGCATTTAATTCTTATTAAAAAATATGTTGAAATTATGTAATTGTTCGGCAACGAATTATATTATCTTGCGGATAATTTAACACGTTGCATGTTAACAATAAGTATCCACGTATTTATAAATGATACTATATATATCTATATCTATTTCGCTCGCTCTTTCTCTTTTTTCGCGCTATTTCTCCACGTTATCTCGAACTGATATTTCGCGCGGGAATGATAAAGCTTGCAACCGCTATGAAATATCGAGAGCATGAAAATATATATGTATGTACATATATATATATTTATAACCACACTCACGTCATTTTGAGCGAAGGTCGGCGTAATTGGCCCATCGCTGGCTTCCCATTTGTCGGCGATGCGGATCGTCTCCGCCGTTTTCTGCTGCACCGATTTCGACTCATCGAGCAACGTCAGCTCGTAAAACTCCTGGATATCTGCAACAGTCCGGAAAACGATAAATTAAATTAATACGTATTAAACAATAACTATCGACGTTTATTGCGATATCCTTTCACTTCGAGCCATAAATTCATTTTGTTCATCATTGTTCCTTTTAAAGAATCGAATTGATTTGGTTCAATATGCCCTGTCAAAATTCTCTCTTTTATTATTTATGATAGAAGAGAAAAATGTTATTTAATTTCAAGGGGTAAGTAATTATATTTAGCCAATTCCCTTCATCTTCATTCGTCTATCATAATTATTTTACTTATTAATCAATTATTCTTCTTTCAGCTGAATAATATTTTCTTCCGACATCTTTTTGTCGTAAATAATAAACGAAATATCTAAAATTCTCAAGTTGTGTGGAACACGTTGTACATTTCACGTATATTTCAAATACATCACTATTTGAAGTAATATTTTTCATATCTGTTTAATATTCAATGGATTCAAGTTCTATGGATGTATCATGAAGATATATGAAATCTCTCTATTGAAGACTTTCTAGAAAATATTCAGCTGTGTAGATATATATATATATAGAAAGATGTATGTATACCATGAGTAAAATTTATCAAATTCAATCTATAATTTTATTAATACGATTTAAACGTTGTCTATCGTACAATTTCTTTTTTCATATATATATAAAAATAATAAATAAAAATAATTAAAGTTGCATTTTGAGGAAAAAAGGTAATAAGTAAAATTCCACGAAATTGCAGACACATAATTTTCAAGAGCTTCCCTTTATGACCTCGATGGATCTTCCTTGAGGTTGGTCGTCTTTCGAGGACGACACTGAAAATATAATACCAACGACAACCAGTCTAACACGGATCCTTTGTGGTCGTAGTGGGATCGTATTTCCCCGGTATAACATTTAACCACTAGTCTTTTGGATAGAATGTCGATAGACAGAACATGGATCAAATGACGACAATTTTGTTAGTTAAATTAATCGAAGAGAATATATATACATAACGTCTTGAAAGAATTAAATCTTCTCTCAATTGATTAACGAGAGATGAAATATCATAATAATATGGAACATTGGAACATATAGAGGATAGAAGATTATAATAGAAGAAATTTTCCAGAGGTAAGAAAAATTAACAAACAATTTTATTAATTTTTAAATTAATTTTTACAACAAATATATATATTATATATAATTATTATATAATATTATATATATTATATATATAAATAAATTTTAATAGATGTAAATGATGGAAACAAGAAACAAATATGAAATTGTGTTATTAATTTCAGAGCCTCTACTATTTGTATCGTTGAATTAAAATTACATAGTTAAGTGTATTTATTTAGGTCGTATTAGACCGACATCGTCAGTGGTTTAAACTTAATTATGGTTGGTCTGGTATTATATCTAGTAATATTGATATATAACGTAATGACATAACTCTGGAATTAACTCTGGAAATTACTCACGAGAGGGCAACTAACAAGTGACACTCCTGAGGGCAATACTTCAAGGTAAGTACTTGTCGAGTGTCGATTTATTAATCCTTTGAGCACGTTTCGAAAAACTTGAATATTAACTTCGATAAATTCAATTGTCATGTCGATACATTATCAATATATATATATATATATAGTGCTCGACAAAAGAAATGATATATTTCAATTTGTCCAGTTTTAAGGTATTTTTCGTAAATCCTTTCTCTATTTTTTGTTCAGATATAATTTTAGAGTTTAAAGTTTAAAATTTTAGAAAATTACATTGTAAAATAATATGTGTGCAAATACTTATATCCTTGAACTCTAAAATTATATTTTAACAAAAAATTGGAAAAGAAATTTATGTTTTAAAGATTTCTTTTTTTTTTTTGCAGAATGCCAATACAACAATTTTTATTCCTCGACGGTATATAATAATTTCAGACACAATTACAAATCAGCTTAATCATTATACTTAAAAAGTGATTTCAACGTCGAAGGAAAATTCACACAAATAATACCCTAAAAGAAAATAGTTGGATATAGACGGAGGAAATTTTTTTCAAGATTTTCTTAACGGGCGAAAAAATTTAAACTAAACCCACAGCCACACGTAGCTGCATGTTAAACGTCAAAGAGACCGCTTGTTATTCGTGGCGAAAAAAATTCTACGACTTTAATTAACGTCCCGACTTTTTGTCGTAGCGAACGGCAGCCGTCCTCGAAACGCTGCGCGTCTGGTCCTCTAATTTTTCGTTTTAATTCACATCTAATGGCATCTTCTCCACGCTCTCCAATCCCAGCAAGTCGAGAGAGTGTGTCGTTGGCACTATTTATGCAACCAACGGGAACCTTTCTACTCTACCACTCGGGAGTCGGGTACAGCTCGCAGCCGGCTACAAAGTTGAGTATTCGAGAAACCACGTTTCGAAGTCATCCTCGAGGACTTTTTTCAACAGAGGGAAGAGCATAAGATGTCATTGGACGTGATTTCGGGCGAATACCACTCACGAGGTTTTCATACTTATTTTTTTCATCGAAGAAATACACGTTGTTCGAAGATGAAGGATTTACAGTGACGACAATATGGAAAAAAAAAGTAGACGCGATGATAATTCATTTTAGAAATATAATAGAAGTAAGTTGTATTATATAATATATAATCAGGAATTAGCAAAATTCCATATCACTTCATATTATAAGGTATCTTACGTAATTTAAACATCTTAAATATTTTTATTCTTTATGATAAAAAAAATTATAGAGAAAATTATTATTTGGTATGTACATATATACATTATAATAACATAAAGATTTTCTTAAATAATTAGAGAGTTTAAGTTAGGTGGGATACCTTATAATATATAAAATTTCACATTTTATTTACGCGATAAGGAAACAAAAAATTACTACTTTTCATATTATTTTATTGCATTTTATTCAATACAATTGTAATAATATTGTACAATACAACATTATAATAATATTATTTAATAAAATTATAATAGACAAAATTACATAATTTTATTTTATTATTCCCAACTTACATTCTCCAATCCACTTCCCATATATCAAAAATTTTATAAATTTTATCATCCTTAAATAATATTCTATAGAAGCATATGTGCAAATTTATTTCATATATAAACAACTAAACAATATAATAAACAATTTCCCAAAGTTTCTGGCACAAATTTTCGACTTTTC